CCCCAAAACCCCAAAACCCCAAAACCCCAAAACCCCAAATGAATTCTATCTAATTGTACATTAATATTTATTAAATTGGATCTTAATGGAATCCCAGCAAGATTATGAGTAAGATTCTACTCAAGATTTACCCTTATTTGCTCTGAAAACTTGATTAATCTTGAGCACTGTTTCAATATTTTTAGGTGAGCCATCTGTCTTAGCTTATCATGAGAACCAGTTAAGCTAAAATGAGACCATATCTTTTGTCAAAGATGCCTCGAGAGGACATTTGAAGATAAGGAGAAAAGAACATGCCCTATGTGTCGGACAAAAAGTAAATATTTCTACAAATTACATGCTTTCTTGATTATGAGCTTAATTATGTTTCAATATCTAGTCTCGAGCAAGTTCAAGCTCAAGGTAGACACAAAGATCAAAGAGGAAGCAAAAGAAGCCTTTCCAGATGAATTTGAGGAAATGACTAAGAAATTAGAGGAGCTTAAAATTGAAGAGGCCAAGACAATTAAAGTCAAAGTTGAATACGGGTAAGAAGCTTATTATCTATTCTAAATAAGAGATATATCTATAAATATCTGTCCTTAACTTCTGGTTATAGAAACAAGCACAAGCTTGTTCCATTACCATCAAAATCAAGGTCTAAACCATCTGTATCAAATAAGCATGAATGGACTGTATTTGTCAGAGTTGCAAATGAAGGAATAAAGACTGAGAATATCGTTGAAAAAGTTAAATTCGAGTTACATGAAACGTTCAAAAATCCTACCAGAATAATAGAAAATGCACCTTTTCAAGTAAATCTTATGAATTAATTTTCAGCTGACAACTAAAGGATGGGGGACATTCGAGATTCCGATCACTATTACCTGGAAAAAGAGCCTCAAATATCCTGATACAGTCTTGTACCATGACCTCTCATTTGAAGGAGCTGGTGAATGGAAGAACTACACTCTCAGAATTCATGAAGATTTGATAAAACCAAAGACTTCTGCTAGTAAAGTTAAAGTAAAGGCAGTAAAACCTGCTCCTTTTAAATAAATGAATTCTATCTAATTGTACATTAATGGGGTTTTGGGGTTTTGGGGTTTTGGGGTTTTGGGG